ATACAAGTCCTTCGGTTGATCTATTATCTCCCTATGCACCCTTATGTTCATAGCAGCACAATTTACAATAGATAAGATTTGGAAACAGCCTAAGTGCCCATCGGCAGATGAGTGGGTTAAAAAAACAGTGGTACATCTACACAATGGAATAATATACTGCTGTAGAAAAGAAAGAACTCTTACCATTCACAACAGACTGCATGGACCTGGACAACATTATGCTAAGCGAAATAAGCCAGTCAGAGAAAGATAAGTATTATATAACTCGCTCTTTTGTGGACAAAATACACTGATGAACAAAAATAGAGCCAGAGTCATAGAGGCATTTAACAGACTGTCAAACCTCAGAGGGAAGGAAGGGAGAGAAAGGGTAAGAGATAAACCAAAGGACTTATATGCATGCATATCAGCATAACCAATGGACACAGATATTAGGGGGTGAGAGCATGTGCTACATGGTTGGAGTGGCCAGGGACAGGTCAATGGGGGGAAAAAGGAGACATATGTAATACATTCAACAATAAATAATTTAAATTAAAGAAAATATATAAATAAAAAAATAATAAAATAAAATAAAAATAAAAATATAGCATTGAGATACAAGTCACTATAATAATAACAAACCGTAAGATGTGACTCTCATATTATCTTGCCTCTATAAAGTAAACTTAAATTCTAAGACTAGTTTAAATAAAATACAATTTTAGATATGCTAATTTTCAGTTTCAGAAAACCTAGGAACATTTTCCTCCTTGGCTTCTATCCCAGCTTTCCTATGACCTAATTGCTCTTCAACAAGGTCACATTCTTCTGCTCATGTCAGTTTTCACAAGGACTCTTCCTCAGCCTTTCCTCCTTTCACTCTACAAATATTTCCAGGCTAATTCTTCCATTCTCATCGCCCTCAACATCTCAGATTTAAATCTAAGCTGTCCACACTTTCTAGAACTAATTAGACTTATTTACCTGCAATCACCATAAACACCTCAAATTTAACAAATTCAAAATGGGATCTCCCCCCTAAAATGCCTCTAGCCTTCCTTTTTGTTTTATTTCCCTTAACCGATAGATGGCAATGCCATTAAATTACCCAAACTAGGGAACCTAAATTAATCTTAACTCCTGTCTTTCCTTGTCTCCCCCAAAGTCTGTCAATTCTACCAAAGCAGTGTCTCCCAATTCCCTCCCTTGCTGCCTGATCTCCATCTTCACCACAGCAGTAATTTGGGCCCTCTAAGCTCTCCCCTGTACTACTACAACTTCCTTCCAAATCATCACCCAGCCGAAACCAGTTTGGATCAGTGGATAGAGCATCGGCCTGTGGACTGAAAGGTCCGGGGTTCGATTCTGGTCAAGGGCATGTACCTTGGTTGCGGGCACATCCCCAGTAGGGGTGTGCAAGAGGCAGCTGATCGATGTTTCTAGCTTTCTACCCTTCTCTCTTCCTCTCTGTAAAAACTCAGTAAAATATATTTTTTTTAAAAATCATCACCCAGCTTCCAATATTCCCCAGCCTGCATCCTGGTCTGCTTTTCAGGCTGCCACAAGAATAATCATTCTAAAACAGATCTGATCGCCTCATTTCTTAAGAAACCCCAATAGCATCCCACTGAGTTTTTGCTTAAAAGCTTTTGCCTTCTGCATCAACCTCCCAGCTCCGAGCAGAGCTGCTTTCTCCTCTGTAGTCCTACCACACGTCAGGTGGGCCTAGCCATGCTGTTATTAAATCATTGTTATGAGGAGGAGCTAATAGAACTTAGTGGTTAAGTTTGTGATTCTGAAGCAAGAATGCCTAGCTTCGAATCCCAGTTGGGTAGCCATACCTGATTGCTCTTTTATGAAACAGAAATAATTTTATATATCTAGTTTTTAAGAAGATTAAATTATGAGAGAAAGAAACTGCTAGCAGACTTCCTGGAACAAAGAAAGGGCTCAATAAATGTTAACTATTGTAATTTCATCTCCCTTCCAAGACCGTGAGCTATTCAAGGGCTGGAACTAAATTTCATTCACTTTCACACACACACACACACACACACACACACACACACACACACACACTTAATACCAGGCTTCAATTGAATTAGCAATTTTTCAGCATTTAACACCCACACTATGGCTATCTAATTCCTAATAAATGCTTCTCCTTAACTACCTGGAGGCTGAGTAACTGTTACATTAAATGGAGATACATTTAGGCCTAAAAGAAAACAGATAGTGAAATCAAAATTAAGCATATATATTTAAATTACATAAGAATTTCACTTTCAAATTTTTAGTAATAGAAATAACACATCCCAAAGTGGAATTCATAATGCTATATTTCCTACTAAGTGTAAAGCTAGGCAATCAAGGAGGTGATTTGGATGAAGAGCATTGTAGGACCCTTAAAGTTTTCACAATTCCTGTTTCCAACATGGCCTGGAGCCTCGGCTGGCATTAAAGCTGAGATGATGCATAAAAACCATGCTCTTTCTTTTCCTTTATCTATGTCCTTGTTTTAACTCTAAAGCAATGCTCCCCTCACATTGCACTGTAGACTTGAAAAGATGAAAACAATGTAAATAAAAAATAAACAGTAAATACCCAAAATAATTTAAAAATGCATAGGAAAATTGTAAATGAGATTATAAATACTAAGTAACATTTCAACTTAAATTTTCCTTTGATTTAAAAGGGGGATGGGAACATCTTCATAACTGCATTTTCATAAAATCTCCACACTCGGTTAAATTTTGAGTAGAGGAGGCAATATGAGTATAAGTTAAGAGCATAGCCTTAAGGGTCAAATGAAAGTCCACAGATAGCCTTTACTTGAACCCACAAATTCTATCATTTAATTAGCCTTATAACTTCTGCAACCTTGGATTCATCGACCCCAAATTGAGGATAGTAAGGATTAGATGAGATAATGTATATAGAAAGCACTCAGCTTATTGCATGACACAGAATAGACACTCAGTAGATCTTATATGTCATTATGGCCATGTTCACTAAATCTTACTTTTCATAAATTATGGTTACATGCAAAGAACGGAATTCTATTTGAACCATTTAAAACATGTAACAGTTCTATATTTATTAACATAGAATGATCTCCAAGATATACTAAATAAAAATAATTTTAAAGGAACAGAACAATGTGTACAGTATGTTCCACTTCTTTTTTTTAATTATGTTTTTATTGGTTTAAGAGAAAGAGGAAGGGAGGGAGGGAGGGAGGGAAACATCTACGTGAGAGAGAAACATTGATGGACTGCCTACTGCCTGCTCCCCACTGGGAATCAACCCCACCCATATGCCCTGGCCAGGAATCTTAACTGGCAGCCTTTTGTGTGTGTGTGTGTGTGTGTGTGTGTGTGTGTGTGTGTTAAACCTCACCTGAGGATTAAAATTTTACTATTGATTTTTAGAGGAAGGGGAAGGAGGGGAAAGACAGAGAAAAACATCAATGTGAGAGAGACACATTGATTGGTTACCTCCTGCATGCTCTGGTTACCTCCTGCATGCTCCCCCAAGCAGCAACTGGTATGTGCCCTTAACTAATACTCTAGCCACTGAGCCTTTTGGTGCATGAGAAGACGCTCAACCAACAGCCAGGACACACTTCTATTTTTTTAATACTGATATTTACATACATATGTTTGTATATATACAGAATGTCTCTATAAAAATATTCCATTATAAAGTGGGTTATGCTAAACTTTGCAGGAAAACCTTAGGTGGCTTCCATAGTTCTAGTATTCATTTCAACACTATTGACCATAATAGTCAAAGACTAGATCAGAGTTTTAGCTATGTTAGCCAGTGAGGATCAATTAAGATATATAAGAGAAGGTGTTTGGAGATGAGGAAAAGAGTACATATGTGGATGGAAAAGACAAAAATAACGCCATTCATTAATTCAAAAAAACACAACTACCCAACAAACTTTGTGCTAGGAGACAAGGAAACAATGATACCTAGTCCTTGACTGTGAACAGCCTCAGTTTAGTGGGAGTCTATGAATACAACAATAAAGTCAGCACTCCTGTGGGTTTGATTATCAAAATACATGTGCATTTTGATGGGCCAGTGCGGATCAGTGGCTGAATGTCAACCTATGAACCAGGAATTCATGGTTTAATTCCCAATCAGGGCACAAGCCCGGGTTGCAGGCTCATCCCCAGTGTGGGGCATGCAGGAGGCAGCCGATCAGTGATTCTCCTCATGGATGTTTCTCTCTCTCTCATTCTCCCTCTCTGAAATAAGAAGTATATTTAGAAAAAATTATGTCATGAACACATAACATTTAAGTGAATGAAGCAAGCCAGGTGACAAAATATACTCCATGCCTCTGGTGACTTGAAAAGAATCAAAGAATCTGCCGAAACCGGTTTGGCTCAGTGGATAGAGCTTCGGCCAGTGGACTGAAAGGTCCCAGGCTCGATTCCGGTCAAGAGCATGTACCATGGTTACAGGCACATCCCCAGTAGGGAGTGCGCAAGAGGCAGCTGATCGATGATTCTCTCTCATCGATGTTTCTAACTATCTATCTCTATCTCTTCCTCTCTGTAAAAAATCAGTAAAACATATTTAAAAAAAAAAAGAAAGAAAGAAAGAAAGAAAAGAATCAAAGAATCTACCCCTTCATCTGCGAATGTCTGTGGAGTGTGTCCCAGAATCCCAAGAACCAGAGATGCCCCCGGGGATCCAGGAGGGGTTGGGAAGGCGCCGGGCGCAGGGTCCCCGCAGCCTCACCCCCATCCCCTCAAGCCAGGCCCGTCCACACCGGGCTCCCCAGGCCTTCGCCCTCCAAAGCCGGGAGGGAACAGACTCCGGGCCCACCTCTGACCCTCACGATGCCAGCCTGGGCCGGCTCCCTCCGTGCCCCGGGCTCCTTCACAGACGGGCGGTGTGGGCACCAGGTCGAGAGGCTGAAACTGACTCCCCTTGAGGGCTCGGAAGCCGTGAAGCCGGGAGGGAGGGAGGCTTCCCTGGTCCTGTGCACAGTCACTGACCTTTCCAAAGAGGGCTCCCAGGGGCGGTGGCCGGAGGGGTCAGGGCGGCTGCCCAGGCTCCGCACCCAACACATCTCCCCCTCAGCCGGCTCCGCACCAGCCGCAGGGTAGCCAAGGGCGGCCAGGAGGCCGCCATCTTGAGCTCCGTACAAGAGAAGGAAGAGGAAAACTTTATTGAGACCCAGAAGAGAGACGGTGGCACAGACAAATCCGGCGGTGCTCACGGAAGGCTCCGCCCGCCCGAGAGAACCAAGGGAGCAGCCCAGGAACGCGACCTACGGGAGAAAAGGGGCGGACTGGCCTCCGGTGCCCTTTCGTCCCTCAGGGTGCTGCCAGCTGGAACTACAACCCCCAGCATGCAGTGCGGCGGCTCTGAGGGCGAAGAGCTGGGCGGGGAGGGGCGGGCAGCGCTAGGCTCGCTGGGAGGGGCAGTTCGGAGCCCAGCCCTGGATGTTCCAAAATGTTTTCGTGGAATTGGAACTGGAGTGCGATGTGTAACCACCCCTGAACCTTTTTTAATTAGCGTATTCTAGCCGGATTCCGAAACCTAAATAAAACGTAGGTGACTCAGCGATAGCCCCAATTTTTATTTTTTATTTTTTATTTTTATTTTTTTGCCTCTAGCGCCCAGTTCATCTTTGGCAGGATAACTGAAGGGTTTTCTTACCATTTTTATTTTCTGTATTAGAATAGCATACATCTTTTTCAAAATGACATATGCTCAAGTATTTTGAAAAAATTCACAAAAAGAGAAAGGGAGAAAGAAATATTGACGGGAGCCCTCCTTAAGTAAGAATTATGTATTTGCCAACCTTCCAATAAAAGTTACCTTTTTTTTTTTTTTCTTTACTGAAACATTGTCTAACTTGTAACTAGAGACTGGCTAATGACAGTCAAGTTCAAGGCTTAAATCTTTATTTAGTTTCTACTTATTTTCTACAACAGATTAAAAATAACTAGTCCTTTTTGTTTTTCAGCTTTGAATATTCTTTATGAGCATATGCTTTTTAATTTTTTTAAGATATATTTTTATTGATTTCAGAGGGAAAGATAGAAACATCAACGATGAGAGAGAATGCCTACTGGGTATGGAGCCCACATTCTGGGCATGCACCCTTGACCGGATTCAAACCCAGGACTCTTCAGTTCTCAGGCCGATGCTCTATCCACTGAGCCAAACCAGCTAGGGCAGGACATGCTTTTTAAAAAATGTTTCACCCAATGATAATGTGCATGTATTTACTTCCTTCATATTTCCTCCATAAATATCACTTGCCCAAATGTTGAAGGGGGAGGAGAGACTTTTCTCATATAATTTCTCCACATGACCCTTCTGCCATTTTTCTTTTAAAAATAGCAGCAACCCCCAACTAATTCTAACTATCCCAACTCCGCATGCAAATTTGTAATCTTGGAGCCATCTTCAATTAATTCCTTTCCCTCCTCACTCAGATCCAACGCTGCACCAGATATGATTAAATTTGTCTTCTTAATATGGCTTTAATCCATGTACTCTCATTGGATCTTCTTCCTCCTGTCTTAACTGGGCTATTGCAGTCATCTCCTAACTGGCTCTGTCTCTTTCTCCTGGTTCCATCCTCCTGTCAGAGGTGTTTTAAAAAATGTATCTAAACTTGCAATGCCTGTCCACTGTCTACAACATTTCTTTATTATAGACCTTTAGAAAATTAAGATCTGGCCCTTATCATCCTTACTATCTCATTACAAAGTATCTCATTTAAGTTCATGAACCTTCATATATATTATTTTGAGAAAACTGGGGAAATGACTCCATTTCCTCTCATTTATTTTCTGTTTTCTCATACTTTTGTTAAATTAGAAAAATAATCACTTTAATGTAAATAATTATAGAACCTAGTAATTGAATTTTAATATTTGCAGGGCAACTCCAAGGATTTTCCAGGTTTAATGTTGCACATGTTTTTAGTATTCATTATTATAAAAGAAAAATAAACTTCATGTAAATGGATATCCAGACTTAGTAAGAAAAATCATTTTTAGAGCAAATTGTTCTATATGTAGAACATGAGAGGAGGTGAGTTCAGGATCTTCCTACATCACCATCTTGAACTGGAAACAAAAAAAAATTTCTTGTAGATCCTCAAGGGAGCTTAAAGATCTTCTGATTTTTAACCCAGTAGTTTGCATATTAAGACTCAACGATTCTGAGCAATAAAGTAACTTCCCCAAGATAGCTAAAAGCTGCTACCCCTTCTTAAAATTAACTGAACAGTAATAGGGACTGAAAGCATGTTTATTCAATGAGATTGTTCTTTAAATGGCCCTTAAATCAGTTGTATATTTCGACGAAAAGTAAACCAAGCCATATAGAATTTTATTTTATTTTTTAAAAAGGTTTTATTTGTTTATTTATTTATTTTTATTGATTTTTTACAGAGAGGAAGAGAGAGGGATAGAGAGTTAGAAACATCGATGAGAGAGAATCACGGATCAGCTGCCTCTTGCACACCCCCTACTGGGGATGTGCCTGCAACCAAAGTACATGCCCTTGACTGGAATCGAACCTGGGACCTTTCAGTCTGCAGGCCAATGCTCTATCCACTGAGCAAAACCAGTTTCGACGAGCCATATAGAATTTTAATTATCACTGAGTGATGGTCATAAGCGACTTAGTTTTGTTGGTTAGACGCAGTGCACCTAAGCAATCAAATAGACTGAATATTTTTCAGTTTTACAGATTGCTTTTTCTGAGGAACTAAAGTTGGCCTAAAATGCAGCCAATCTTCAAAACTCAAAGATGGAATGATAAAACTATATGAACTCATTTGTTTACAAGTATTAGTACTTGTACCAGGGGCCTATCCTCAGAATTAGCCATGATTTGGCCTAGACCTCAAAGGAATAAGCTGGGTGTTGTGTTGTTGTGTTGTGTTGTGTTGTGTTTGTTTTCTAATGGGCATCTTGAGAAATTACTTGAATAAGCTTTAAATCAAGATGAGTTTTATTTACCTAAGTTTACTAGTAACAGAGCAGTTCTCAATCTAGAATCTCTAGATGATAAAACCTGAATACCTTTATAGTCATGGGGCATATCTAATTCAAGAAGGATTTATTACAAAGTTGAATGTCTTCTGCAAAAACTAAGACTGGATAAAACTAAGGGACCAGATGATAACAGTGTTGAGACCACTAATGTCTATACACACCAATTGTAAGGGCCCAATTTTCCCAGCATGTATCTCACTTAGGCCAAGAAATTCTCATCAACTTCAAAGGGAGAGATGGTCACCCACAGATCTGAGTTTGCAGTATTCAGGGCTTACTCAGCAGGAATGCATGCTATAATCTATGGTACCAGGCTTCATTTCTTTAGTTCAAATCAACTCAGCTGGATTTTGAAGCTTTAGTTCTTGGAAATAATCAATTGTCCCTTACAATATCAAATCCTCTTGGCTTTATTTCCCACAATGATTTTGTTGATTACCTAGGATAAGTATAGTTTAGATTAATAGATTGATATTCAAGACATGTAATATAGAGCTGTATGCTATACTACTATGTATCTTTATAATATCAAATTATCAAAATTTATTCTGTAGGTAATTTGATGCATAGCAAAGAGAGAAGCTGGAGATTTAATTTCTTGTTTTGCTGTTCAATGATGTTCTTAAAAGTATAATTCTGTTTACAAGTACTGTTTTTCACCTTTAATTTGATACTTTACTATGAGGTAAATTATCTTTTAATGTAATTAGCTTTATGTAATAATTATGATCTTGAAAGTCTGCAAAGTGATTAAAGGGCATTTTCTAAGAAATAGATTTCTGGATGCAAATTATGCAATTTTTCTGCTTATAGTTTTGGTGTTATCTAATTTATTATTATCATTATTATTATTACTACTATTAAATTCTTATTAATTGGCAGGTATAAAGGTAGGCCTTTACAAATATTAGATGTAAGATCAAAAATATTTTTAATCACAGATTTTGAAAGTTGACAAGTATATCCCTGTTATCTTCTTTTAAAAACCTTTATTAGGTCCTGCCAGCATGGCCCAGTGATTGAGCATCAGCCTATGAACCAGGAGGTCACGGTTCAATTCTGGATCAGAGCACTTGCCTAGGTTGCAGGCTCAGGCTTGATCCCCAGTGCGGGGCATGCAGGAGGCAGCCTCTCATTATTGATGTTTCTATCTCTCTCTCCCTCTCCCTTTCTCTCCAAAATCAATAAAAATATATTCTTAAAAAATCATTTATTAGTTTTAACTCACTCTAGCATGTTATACACATCAGCACCTGTGCCCATTTAGCAAAGAATTTCAGTACAAATCACTCTGGATTGAATAGACATCTCTAAGAAGCATTACAATTGTTGCAATATTTTTAGAAACTGAAACGAGGAAATAAACAACTTCAGTAAAAGTGATTTAAATAACAAATAACATCTTTATAAACAGCTTATCTCCTTGAGAACAAAGAATAAACAAGGAGACAACGGTTTTTTTTTTCCTTCCACTATTAAGGCAGATCACAATATGAGTGGGTGAAATGTCATGAATAATTGGAGAAAATCACAGAGTAATCTTCGACAAAAACATCTGATTTATTTAAATTGTCGCTGTTTGTCTTATTAGAACCTTTATTTAACCTTGTTATACACAATGCAGTATTCAAGCTGGTTTACCAAAAAAATGTACTTTGGAACTAACCATATCTTGAAAATTTTGACTTTTTCAAATGCAAGTTATGGTAATGTAAACTGGTGGCAGCTGTTTTACTTGAGACCTAATTAACTGACATTGCGTTAGACTGAAATGCCTGTGAAAACGAATGTTTTGAATCCGAAGTAATAGTGAATAAATCAAGGCTTTGAATAATAGATTTAAGCTCAGGTTTCTGGTCAAGAGAATCGTCAGGCTTCCCACTGTTACATCCATGTAGATATAACATTCATTCCATGTCTTCTACTCACAAACCTAGCTCAACACCACCAGGCATTCCTTATTCCAACATTCAAGGCCTCCTTTTGTGATTTTCCAACCATGGTTTCTTCTCTTTTTTTTCTAGAGAAGATTATATCCCTATTAACTCCTATGTAGATTCTATGTACTTCAGGGCTTACCATTATGTCTGTCATTGTTCTAAATGCTAT